CCCTTGGTTCTTCCTGTGTGATCTACAATAATAATCTGCTTCATGTTGATATTTACTGCTGTATTGCTGACAATTACCTGAAAGAGAATATGGGGTGCTTCACTGGGCAGAAAAAAGTTTAGCTAAATTAGAAAGCAGGTGTAATTAATCAAGTTTATTCTATATCTATAAAAGGCTAAGTTGATTCACGCATGCATAATACATGTAAAGCTCTTGCTGGCGCCAATCGCACACATGTGTTTCCATCTGTCATTGTCGATCATGAATTTGGTTGACATTTCTATTATCGAGAAAGGGTGAATAGCAATAATAAAATACTTCTTCTAATTAATTTCCTTTCAATGTGCATGAATTCATGCACCAGGTCACTAGTAGTTAAATAAAAAATTAACAGTGACCTAATTTTTAATAGCTGTAACATAATATATATGTCCAAATGAAGGCAAGATCCTTCCAGAAAGGCGTGCTTTAAACAATGTTGTCCCTATTCAAAATATCATCTAGAGCAGCGGTCGCCAACCTTTCAGACCTCACAGACCAGCAGTGGTCCGTGGCCCGCCGGCTGGCAACTGCTGATCTGGAGTGGCTGTGGGTTCCTATCCTTCTGAAAGGAAATTTATTTTTTAGAAAACAGCCAAAATTCATTCTAGGCTATCTCCAATAAATACGTTTGTAGGTAAAGCCATGAAGTTCAATTTTTGATCAAAAAACAAGGACCAGTAACACAGTGCTAAGATTCCTTTGTTGCCCGGCTCATAAAATGACTCTAAAACCACTCAAACAGTAGAGTTCCAAAACATCCACACACAACAAAGAAAATAAAAAATAAAAATAAAAACAAAAAACGAAACGACAGCAGAAAACACATCACATACTTCAGTAACAGTGTGTCTGGTAGAAGAAGCTCCAGGCCTTTGCCTGGCTGTTCATTTGGCATAGGTGCCTTCCCTCCCTTCCCTGTCTACCTATCCTTCTGGGCTAAGCTCAAATGCCTTTTCCTCTAGGAGGCCATCCCAGATTGTCTCCCTGCTGCCCAAGTCAGAATCCTTCTCTCCCTCATGTTCCCACAGCACTCTATCAGTGCCAACCTCTCTCCCTCCATTCAGTATCTTTCATCTTTTCTAGACTCTGAACTTTCTGAGCTCATTTCTTATTTCTATAAAGGCTCTAAAGTTTGCTATCTGTTATAAATCAATCCCTGTTTATACTTATATTTTGTAATTTCTTTTTAACTATTTCTAATTAAGAAAGTACAACACTGTAGTTTGAAAAAGAGAAAACTTTCCGAAGTAAGAAGCATTCAACAATAACCACAAGACAAAGGGCAAGTGTAAATATAAAGTATCTTCTAGGGAGCACTCCTTTGTTCTACCACAAAAATCCTTTTAAAACTGAACTTCCTCCTCCCCATCAACTGTATAGAGTGATAAAACAACTTTCATAAACAAAACTTCCTAACAAGGAGATCAATTTAAAAAGCAAATGCTTTGTTTAAACATAAAGCTTAGGAGGAATGAGAAGCACAACCCTCCGGGGACAGATGAAATCTGACATCTCCTTCATAACTGGCTACTTTCTATTGGAGCCACTGCACCCACCTCTTCACGACCTGTCCTTCATTCTAGATGGCTGCTTTGGATCTGCTATGGGCTGGAGAAACCAGATGTTTTTAAAGAACCACATGTTAAAGAAAACAGGCTCCAAGTAAAAGTCTGGCCTCTTCTGCAATAAAGTGCATGTCTCTAGTGCTAGGACTTTATGTGGACGGTTTCTGTGCTAAGAGATCTTACCCTCAGAAATAGCAAATTTGGCTAAACCACCTAGTAAAAGCTCCTCTCTCATTCAGAAATAAGAAATGGAAAGTACCTGGTTCACCTTCTGAACTGAGGTGCTCAAGGTCCATCTCTGCGTGAGGAGTAAACCGGACCTGCAAGGTGGCCACAGGGGCCTCTCGCACCCAGGCGGGAACCACACTGTGGTGGGCTGCGTCAGCCGTCCGGGGAGGGCAGTGAGGAGGCACGGGCTGCCCCTCCCCACTGCCTCCTTGTGGGACCACTGCTTCTTTCCTTCTCCGTGGCCGCTTATCTGTACTCTCCTCTGAAAAGCTCTTCTCCAGGTGACACGGGCCCATCTGCTCCTCCGCCACACTCAGTGTCTGACCACTTCTGGATTCTAAACCCAAGTCTGCTGTCTCCCTGTGCTTAGGCGAGCGTTGCTGGATTTTGGCTGTGTCTTTGTGTTGCATGTCATTTTCTCCTGAAGCTCTGTGTTCGGGACATGTAGGCTTCTCCTTAGTGCGACCGCAGGGCTGTGGTTCCTCGCACTCAGAGAGCTGTTGCTGAGCACGGCTGTCGGTCTTGGCATCAGACCGGGACACCATTTTTGGTTTATACTGGTTATTCGGTAAATTACATTCCCCTAGAGGCTCAATCAAATTTTGTGGTGAGTCATAATCAGCAATGTAGGGTTTTATGTCCAGTACAGGTGTGCCATGAATCATGTCAATTCCAGAAAGGTATATAGCTCCACCTATAATGTGAAAAATACCTCTTAGAAATAACAATGAAGAATAGTGTAAACAATTGAAGAACGACATCGTCTACCTATGCTTCCCTAAGCTTGCTCACAATTCTATGTACCAGGCTCTCTTACACCTGGTGCTGACATACACTGGAAATCCATCCTCGTTTTTACCTGTCCAACTCCTACTTGCTCTCCAAGGCTCTCACATAACACCTCTTCTACAAAAGCCCTCCTGGCTCTCCCAGACATAAGCACTCTTTCATGTTCTAGAGGAACTGTATACAAACTTCTCCTAGAGCCCTCTTCATGTGGTCCGGCAATCACCGGCTTAGAGTCTCTCACCCTAGACAGTGAGCAGTTGAGCCCTTCAGCACTGGGTGGGGCTGACTCATCTTTGCATCACTGGGGCTTCTAACTCGGTCAGGCACACTGGTGTCTCAATGTATCTCTGTGGGACCAATGAACGTTTCAAACCATTGTGGCAAACAGACTCTAAGGTGGTCCCCATGATGCCCACTTCCTGGTGTTCACAGCTGTGTGCAATCCCATCCTCTTGAGTGTGACTTGATATCACTCCAGTAACTATATTATATTAAGATGCCTGTGCTTGCTGGCAGACTCACTCAAGAGACTCTCCATGTGGACTTGATGAAGTAAGCAGCCACGCAGGGATAGCCCAGGTGGCAAGAAACTGCAGGCGGGGTGTCTAGGAGTGGAGGGCAGCCACCAACCAACAACCAGCAAGAAGTTGGGGCCCTCAGTCCCACAACTATAAGGAAGTGAATTCTGCCAACAACCTGAGTGAGCTTGGAAGTGAATTCTTCCACAGTCAAGCCTTCAGATAAGAACTCATCCCAGCTGATACCTTAATTGCAGCCTGGTGAGACCCTAAGCTGAGGACCCAGCTCCTGACCCACAAAAACATAATAATGTTTTAAACACATAATAAATGTGTGTTATTTAAACTGATAAGTGCATAATATGTTATGCAGCAATTGAAAGTTAATACTCCATCAAACAATTAAGCAGAACACAAGTCACCATTACCAAATATTAAGAACAGGTCTCTTGTTTTCTCACTTACATAGCTGCTCTCCAGATCCTACTACTCGTGCACAGTCTAAGTCTACTAACTGGATCCTTGGGAAATTGGCCAGAAAAACTGTGTGATCACATTGGATTCTGTCTCCACTTAAGAAAAACATGACTAACAAAGTACTTTGATTTCTAAAATTATGCTTACTGTGTGTGAGCCTGGAACTTTGGAAAGATGCCTTTTGTACTTTCTAAGTGATTATGCCTAACAATGTCTACTGAAGAAAGAAAGGCACTGTAGCATAGGTAAGAGCTCATGGGATTTGGAGTCAGACTACCCCCTGGCTAGAGGCTATTATTAAAATTATCTAATATCAAAGAAAAGCAGTGGCCTCATCCATAAACTGGAGATGGTTACCCTACCAAACCCACAGAGCCACTGTGAGATAATGCACATGAATTCTCTTTATAAACTGAACATACCACACAAACACTAGTAGTCACTATAATGCATATTTAGTAACTATAGTGTTATTGTGCTTGCCTTTCACCTTTCTGATTTGATCTCCCCCGTTAGGGTGTTAAGTTCTTCTGTAGGGCAGGGATTTTTATCTGATCTGTTTATTACTATATCCCCAGCACCTGGAACAATGCCTGGCACATATTCAGTGCTCAGAAAATATGTGTGGGTGTACAAATGATCATAAAATGTTCTAGTACTGCTTACCCAAGTTGGTTAGTCATCATAAATTAATAAAACTCAAGTTGGATCAGCTACAGAATTTTTCCAGAAAACCTATCCAAGGCCTGGTTGAATACAATCCAGCAGAGGAGTTCAAGTTCTGAGAAAGAACAAGCAAAATAACTGCTCTCATCTTTTTAGCACCCAAAAGTCTGAAAAGTACTCTTAGAGCTTTTGTCTTATAAGATCCTCAAAAAAATCATGCAGCGTTCCAGAGAGGGCAGATCCTTCTTCTTTGCTCACTGAACAAATAAGCAAGCTGAGGCCTGGAGTGGTCTTCTGACTTCCAGTCCACCTGCTGCTTCATCTTCTGCCTCTCTAACAAATGTGCTGATTAGGCCAGAAGTTCAAGAAGGGATGCCTGCTTTCCAAATCATCTGGCTCAGAAACTAGGTTATACATTAACAGGGAGTTAAAACTAATCTGGTATTCTACACAGGGACTTCTACAATCTGACAGATGTTTAACCCTATAGTGTGATTCATCCCAGGCCCTCTGCCACAAATCACAGCTGACAAACACAACTGCAGCCACAATGCAAGTTCACTTCCTCCAGGCTGCAAGGAAGAAATGACACACCACCACTCTATGTGCTGACCACATATGCATGTATGACCAGTTACTGTGTGTTAAATTTTGAAAGCATTCAAATACTTTTTAATCATTTTGTATTTATTGCATTCCAAGTCAGAGAAAATTTGGTTACTAATTTAATGATTATGAAATCTTAAAAGTTATTTTTAAATAATTTAAACTTGGATAAATGTAACAATATAAATAAGTTCTGAGCATCCTCTGACAGTTTATGTCAAAATGTTTCTCAACGTCACCAGTATTTGAATAACAGCCAGTGTTGAATATTATGCAGATTTTATAAGACTTCTTTTTAAGAAGAAAAAAAAGGTTAAAAGTAAAAACGACATGTGTACCTTCTACCTTTTCCAGTTTGGCCAGGGTCAGTCCTATTGCATTGGGACGATGTGGGCTCCTTGTGGAGAAAACTCCAGTCTTCGCACCATTCAGCCTAGGAGGCTGAACTTTTGCCTTACAGCTCAAATGACCATTTTTGTGAAAAACAAACAAAATCCTATGGAAAAAAACAAACCACTGAGTAAGAAAAAAGCACAAGTTAATTTATCATAATGAGTTGAGGGGGGAAAATCTTTAATCCCCATAAATTAAATCAGAAAGAATGCTTTTAATGGTATTAAAATGTAATCCGTGAGAAAAAAAATACCATTCCTGTTTCATGAAGGAAGAGTCTTATCTCTGTATCCTTTGTCCCTAATACAATGACTGGTACACAGTAAGAACTTAATAGATGTTTGTCAAGTGCCCCATAAACAATATTTATGAGGTGTTTGTTATATGCCAGGCAGTATGCTAGACATTTTTATATTCATATCATTTAATCTGCTTAACAATCCTAAGAAGTATAATTTATTCCCCATTTTAAGGATGAGGAAATTGCTGTTCAGAAATGTTAAACAACTTGACTAGGCCTTCCTATACAAGATTAAAAGCAAGAATCTATGAAGAAAAGCAGTTAATAGATTTGAAATCATAAAGTTTATGTGCTACAAAATGTCATCTAAGGAGAAAATGTTTGCTGTGTGTATAACAGACGATGAATGGGTTAATATCTGTGGTATCTAAACTATTCCTACATATCACAAAGGACAACTCAATATAGGAAACGAAACAAAGACCATGAAAAAGTAATTGACAAAAGAAAGAGAAATAGCTAACAACCATATGAAAAGATGTTAAACTTTGTTAATAACAAAAAAAAATTAAACTAAAAAACAAAATACTGTTTTTTCCTGTCAGGCAAAAATGTAAATAATTGGTAATAAATAGTGTTATCAATAGTGTATGGAAAAGGTCATTTTCATTTACCCTTGACGTATACATTGGTTATGCTTTTTAGAGGGCAATTTGGCAGGAGCTCTCCAAAATAAGTATGTACACCTTCTAATCCAATACAACCACTTCCCATATCCTATTCATAAAAATATACAAGTGCCCAAGAATGTGTCTAAGGGGATTTGTTACAGCATGACTGTAATAGCAAAATAAGTCTCCATTAACAAGGGAACAGTCAAATCATGGTACATCTATATTTTGGAATAACAGGCAGCCATTAAAGCAAAACAAAGTAAATCTATATGTACTGTCATGATATACACACTAAGTGAAGAAAACATATTCCATTGTTTTTTTAAAAAAACTCACTCTGTATGTATATATTTATGCTTCTATGAGTATCAAAAAAAAAGAAAGAAAAGGTCTGGCAGGATATACACCGATCTGTTAACAGCGATAATCCCTGAAGAGTGTTGGAAGGTGGGGATGAAAAAGAAGAAAAAGAGGAGAATTAAGAGAAAAAAAATCTATATACTCCTGAGTCCATTTTTTTTTATATCAGCAATGTTTTTAACTTAAATAATCCAATCAAGATCATACACACTAGATCATCAGAACACCCATGTTCTTTCTAATCTATGCAAACTAACATGAAAAAGGTTAACTATTTCAGAACAAAAACTTAATTTTAGGTCTACACCAATAAAATTAGACCACTTCAGACTGCTGATGTTGAGGTGAGGAAGAATGGACAAAAAGAATTCCAAATGACACATATAACACAGGCTTTAATATAGGTAACACTTTATTATTATTATTATTATTATTATTATTATTATTGTAAAAGGTGGAAATTTATTGAGAAATAAGCACAGACTCCCACGTGGGGAGGGGGAAGTCCCCAGGTAACACTTGATAAACTTTCCAGATTTCTAAGGTCTCTTTTGTCTTCTAAGAAGAGTAGAATTAATTCTTCATGGGTGTAGGGCAGGGTCCAAAAAATTTTTCAGTAAAAAGTCAGCTATCAAATATTTTAGGGTTTGTAGGCCAACCAGTCTCTGCTGTAACTATTCAACTCTGCTGCTGTAGCACGTTAACAAATGCATGTGGCTGTTCCCACACACGTATTTACAAAAACAGAAGGTGGTGGGATGGATTTGGCCCATGGGCCATAGCTTGCTGACTGCTGGTGGAGAGGACAGAATGACTACCCATAGACAGAATAGAGAGGGTCTACAGATTTCAGCTCAACAGAAAGGTGTTGATCACAATGAGAGCCAACTGCAAAAGGACCGTGCCTCCTCAGTGTATCCCAAGCTTCCCTCAGGGTGTCCAAGTTATGCAGACAATCACATGCACAAATACAACAGAGGAATCTCATGCAATAGATAGGTTGGTCTGGATGACAGGCTCTAAGGCTGCCTCCATCAGTGGTTGCATATCAACTGGAATACATTTTACTCAGGGGCAAGCTCTGGCCCAACGCTGTAAAACAACTTACCAAACATGAGAAAACTCTTCTAAACCCATCAAGGAATGTTCAGGATTATTAAAGATGCTCTTTCTAATTCTCAAACAAGCCCTTGAATGGCGACAAATGGATGGCTGCCTTGGAGTACCATTCTTGGCTGAGAAACAGGATTCCAAATAGCCAATTGGCTCAGTTAAAAGATTCCCTATAGAAAATAAATTAGGTAAGAAATCATTAGTCAAAAGGTGTATGAAAACATGTTTTTTTCTAAGGCACTGATTTCATAGTTTTAAAACCTACCAGGTGTTATACAACTACAGAACATGATTCTTACATGCAGGATAGGCATAAGCACAGGCATGCCATGGGAGTAGTACTGGCATGAAAATGGGGTGAAGTGATTCCCTAAATAATACGGAAGGGTTAGGGCTAGTATCGAAGAGAAAAAGGACAAAAAGGTAGAGCTATTACATTAGCTGTGTGACCTTGGACAAAATCGCTTATGTCTCTAAATCTGTTTTCTCATCTATAAAACAAGGATAATAACACCTATATCAGAATTATAAGATTATCAAAAGATGTAAAGTACCTAGTACAACAGAAGGTGCTCAGCAAGGAGTGGTTTTTACAGCCCTTGCTCGGGCTTTCCTTCCTTTTAACAATATCACAACTATATTAACTGTGTAGTAAGAAAAAGACCAGTAAGTTACTGATGTAGAGGTTTTGTGCACAATGTTAATTTACAAGTCTTGTGCAGGCAGAAAAGTTCAAATGGTAGGTCCTTTCCACTTCTTGCCTGGACTATTAAATGACTCTTGTTATAATTTGTCTCCCCTCTGCCAGTCCCTCCCCTCCTCAACACACACTACTCCAATCCTCCAGACTCTGGGTTCCCTATGTCATGCTACTAACTTTAACTTTCCATGTTCCCACTGTTAACAGATGGTGCATTTCCTAGCCTGATGTTCAAGGTGCTCTATAATCTGAATCCAATCAATGGTTCCCCAAACTCCCTGTTGCATCAAATATTTCCGGATTTACAGCTTTCTAATCCCACGCACCTGAGCCATGCATGCTCTTTCCTGTCCGTCAAAATACTAGACTTGTAATCTGGTAGTGTGCAACTCTAAAAAAAAAAAATGAGCACCACCTTTGACCAGGTAACAGTACTTTTAAGAAATTTAAGTCAAACATTTAGAGCATACACAAAGATTCTAGTTTCAAGAACTTTCATTTAAAACAATGAAAACTGGCAATACCCTAAATGCCCTATAATAGGGAACTTGTTAAGTTAGAGGACATCTATGAAACAAAATAGTTAACCCCTTAAAATTAAAATGATTGACCATGGATTTTTATGAATCTTAAGTATTTAGGAGTCATATATCAACTCGTATTTCTAGGGTGTATGCAGTAAAACAAACATCAAGATATTCACCATGGTTTTCTCTGGTGGTGGCTAATTTCCTTCCACTTGCATCCTCTAGTTTCTAAAGTTACTATAGTTTGCTCTACATGCAGAGGTGAAAAAAAAGAGAAGCAAACTCATTTCTTCTTTCCGGGCCCAGTTTAAAACTATTTCCTCCCTCTGGCCTTTCCAGGCTTTCCTCATTGCCTACAGGAAGCTCCTCACTGGCGGCACTAATCCCTAACCCGCACACCACCAGCGGCACACATCCTCTCTCTCCTACATGAACAAAAGCTCCCTACGAGAGCCGTTACACGGGACGAGGCCAGTTCAACCACCGCAGCAAGACCCGGCGGACCTCAGCTACCGAGGAACGTGATGACGTCATCCAGCCCGCCTAGACGGGTCACGTGGTCGACGAAGCACGTGAGCCGTGCCTTCGCAGTAAATGTGACGCACGTCAGCTCAGGGTCTTGCATTTCTCGTCCCTCTCTGCAGTGAAGTGGGCGGCCCACACCTAGGCCTCTTCCGAGGGCGAAATCGCCAGCCTCTCAGAAGTTACCTGTCTCCAGAGCCGGCTTCACGCACCCACACGGGGTCGCTGTGGGGCGACGCCCTGGTTCCTCCAAGCCGCTCATGGCTACAGGTGACAGAGGCGCCCACCCCACACGTTCTAGCCTTCCGCTTCCGGTCTGCATGCCTGGCGCCTGCGCAGCAGTCGCACCCGCAAGGTGGTGTCAGTATCCGGCGCAGGCGCAGCGGATGGGGTGCGCGCGAGGTCCTCGGGCAGCCCAAAGGTTACCTTTACTGTGCAGGTGTTTGTCATCCTCTGTTCCTCTCCCGTTACGGGGTTCCTCTCGGAACCGAACCGGTGTCTTAGTTGTCTCGCGCGGACCCACTGCAGTTGCTAGCCCTTTCAGAGCAGTCAGCGACTCCGAGTCCCCGCCCTTCCCAAGGGGTGGGGGGAGGGCACAACCAAGAAGATTTAAAAGATGTCTGTCTCCAAATAAGCAACCTACATATCAAGCGCATAACGCTAATATTTAAAGAAAAATAATGTGGGGCCGGGGGAGAATGTGTATGTGCAATGACCAAATAGCAAAATGTTCGGATGTTGGGAAATGTTTAAAATTCTCCTTGGGTGGTGGGAACACCCATACATTCATACTTGTATGCATGCTCCCATTTTTCCATAATAAGAATGATTTACCAGAAAGGAACCCAGGTAAACCTTCAAATAAAATGGATGGGAAACCCCATACCGATTAGGGGTTAAGAAGTTGGGACTGTTTTTGTGCTCCCTCCCTCAAGGAAACTGAAGTGAGAATGAAATTGAGAGTCAACAGGCCATTTGCATTGAAGGGATTAGGGTCCTTGTTTCTGGGCAGCTCTGAGAAGCCGAGGGACAACGAGGACCCTTTTTTTAAATCCCATTCGATGAGCAGTTATCCCTGTAGGATAGCCTATCCTTTTACCCATTTGTAACATCATCTGTTATCTATTTTAAGTTTCTCTGTATACATTTTTCTGTTTCTGGGCATTTAATCCTGTTGGTTCACGTGGCGTGGTGGTTGGATGGAGACATATTGCCTACAATATAAATTATTCAAAAGCATGCAAGTCCACAGACTTAAAAGCTTAACAACCATTTTTTTAAAAAAGCTGTTTCTAAACCTGTTCATTTGTTATGAACTAATGGGTCACTAGTAGAAAAGAATCAGCACAAAGAGCCAAGGATTTAAAGAGAACGTGGTTTAAAAAGAAAGGCACTTGACAATGTGGAAAAGAATGCAATCATTCTGTTTCCACTCGGAAACAGCTCTGTGTAGCTGAAGAAACAAGTTTGAGGATGGCTGAGCTATATATACATTGTAAAACTGGCCTGGTAATAGCTGTGTTTGCCACTAGATGGTGGTGCTGTGGAAAGTGACAGTCTTCCTTAATATGTGGACAGTCTAGTGTGGAAAACGAGGTATTTATTTGCCTTCCCTGCCTTAGACATCATATATAATGACATTCACACACACAAAAATACATTCATTACCAAGTGTGACAAGTACTGAAATGCAGAGCAGACTTGGAAACACTAATGAAGTAGATTGCTACCTCTTCAAGGTAATGTAACATCTTAATTTCTTAAGTTTTGGTACGTGGACCATGGTTAAAGAAGATGTCAACTGGGTGAGAGGTATACAGGAATATCTGTTCTATCTTTACTTTTATGTAATTCTAAAATTATTCCTCAAAAAAATCATTTAAAGCAAAGTAAAAAATATACCTATGTCTGGATGTCATCCTAGGCAGGTGAATAGAAGCCCCAGGGAGGTGTCTGGGCATCGTAATTTCAAAATCTTCCCCAGTGGTTCTTATATACCAAGAGGGTTGAGAACCACTGTTCTACACCATGAATGCTTAAGAGACTAGGATTGTCTTGTTCTTTACTGTTGCCTACGTCTGCATAGAAAGCTTAGGCAATTGTGCCCTTGCTGAACCAAACTTCCCGACCTCTTCCCACCCAGAATAGTCCCTGCTCCTGCCCCCAGGCTCTCCTCATTTTCAGTTAATCCTCTCCATTATCACCAAATAAATACTCCTAAAATACTAAAACTGCCACTTCATTGTTCAAAAGTCTTACTTAGTTCCCTATTACCTAACAAGTAAGGGATATACTTCTTAGTTAAGTATTCAAAATTCTGTACACTCTAATAATACAAAATTTTTAGCTACTAGGGTCCACAGGGACCCTGCATTAACTGAATACACTCTAATAATACAAAATTTTTAGCTACTAGGCTGCTATTCCACAGGGACCCTGCATTAACTGAACGTCTTGAACACTTGAATTCATTCCTCTCTGTGAAACATACCATAATAATGCCGTTATCCTCACCTATAATATAAATCCTCTCCATCTTTCAAAGCTCCACTCGTGTAATTTTTCAGATCACTTCAGCAAAAGAGAGCATTCCCTTTATTGTATCTACTGTTCAAATGACACTCATTTACTATTTTCTTCAGTAATTATTTGTTTCCTGTTTTATTCCCCCATAAGACTAGATTAAACACCTGATGGACAAAGTGTTATAAGTCTTCTGACCTTCAAAATGCTTACCATGATATATTCCACACAATTAAGCATGTAATAATGATTTAATGTACAAATACAATATATAAAAAGTAAAAACAGAAAATTCAAATTCAAATACACAAGTAAATACATTCAGCACTACAAAATATCTTTGGAGTCCCAGAAATATAAAATTAACTTAATAAAACAACTAAAACTTTAATAAAATTTTGATGCTATTGTTACATTATTAGTTGAACAAAGTTTATAAAGTATATACTCACCCAAATTTTAAGTGCTCATATTTATTAATTTTTTTGCTCTTAAGAATTAATCAAGCCCTAGCTGATATGGCTCTGTGGATAGAGCGTCAGCCCATGGACTGAAGAGTCCCAGGTTCAATTCCAGTCCAGGGCACATACTTCAGTTGCAGGCTCAATCCCTGGCCCTGGTCAGGGTGCGTGCGGAAGGCAACCAATCCATGTGTCTCTCTTACATCGATGTTTTTCTCCCTCTATCTATCTCTCCTCCTCCCTTCCACTCTCTCTCCGAAAATCAATGAAAAAATATCCACAGGTGTAAATTAAAAAATAATTAATAAAAAATATTAGGGGCAAGTTAATTATTCAGCCCTCCCCTTTCGCATTTTCGTCTTTCCCCACCACTATCCTCACCCCAATATATATATATATATACATACACACACACATGCACACACACACTGTAGGTTGTTGTCTATGTAGTATAGCCTGGAAAACACATTAGTTCTCTCTCTCAGATATGATCTATACATGGAAAAAGAACACACTATTAAAATATGAATGAATATTGTGGAGATTGCTACAATATTTTGAGAAAAGTCACATGTAATAAGATGTGTATTTTGTTGCACAATTGTTATGATTGAGCATTGTTAAAACAAAACATAACTATAGACGTCATTTTCTGGGTGAATCTCTTGAGGAACGTTTGGAATTGCTGGTGTCTCTGGTTCTTGTGCTTTGGGTTTTTCTTTCATTTCTGTAAAATCAAATAAAATATAAAAATAGGTTCAATAAATGGTATTAGGACAATTGACTATCCATTTGAAGAAAAACAAAACTCTACCTCAGACTTTGCACAAAAACAAATTACAGATGAATTAAAGATTTAAATATTAAAATACCATAAATGTTGTAGAAACAACAGAATGTTCCTATAATCTTTGGATTATAAAGGCCTTTCTAAGCAGAACACAGACCAGAAACCATAAAGGAAAAGACTGATACATTTGAACAACTAAAAATTTAAATTTAAATGTTGTCATATACAAGACAAAAAGCACTATAAACAAAGTTAAACCACAAACAACAACTGGAAAAATATGTACAACTTATATGTAGGCAAAGGTTTAATAACTATTATTTAAAGAGTTTTTAATCAGCCAAAAAAAGATAGCTATCCCAAACTTAAAATAGAACAAGGATTCAAACAGGCAATTTTCAAAAGAAAAAATTCAAATTCATAATAATCATGAAAAGATGTCAAGTAGCATTAGTCATCAAAAAGGTGGAAATTAAAACAATTAGTGTATTTTTTTAACCTAGCAGGTAGGCAAAGATTTTTAAAACATTACTTGGAACCCTACTAACCCCATGGTTTTGTTACACTCTTCTTTAAGGAGAAAAAGTAAATAAACTATCAAAAGGATTTCTTTAGAAAACAATTCCCTGGAGAAAACTATGGTCTGACAGTCTCAGCTCAATTTCCTTTTCTTTCTTTCTTTTTTTTGTTACTCCTCACCCAAGGATATTTTTCCATTGATTTTTAGAGAGAGTGGAAAGGAGGGGGAGAGACAGAGAGAAAGATCACATCAATTGGTTGCCTCCCGCATATTCCCTGACCAGGGCCGGGGATTAAGATGCAACCAGTATGTGCCCTTGGCTGGAATCAGACCCTGGACTCTTTAGTCCGCAGGCTGATGGTCTATCCACTGAGCCAAACCAGCTAGGGAAGCCCATTTTCTTATAGTTCAATCTACAGCACTGTACAAAGAGAAGAGAGATTCTCAGTAATGTCCCTGAGGCAAGTTAAATTGAAGAAAGGTTACATTCTCTTCAAAATTCTATACTTAGGAGAAAGCTTTTCAGACAAATAATAAAATAGAAAGGGTTTTTGATAAACATGATAAATCCTGGTTAACAGGAATCACATTTTACACCTTTGTATCTTCTTCAGTACTGTACACCATGTATTTACTTGCCTTTTGCTTGCCAGGAAATTTTAATTTTCAAGAAAAACTCTATTCAAGTTTTCTTGTAAATCTAAACTTAATTATCCCTAAAATATTTTGCACACACATTATCCTATATTGGGTTCATTTCTTTTCACTGGCTAAAGCTTCTCAAAGTGGATAGCATGTACAAGTAACTACTATACACACTTATATTTTCAATTATTTTCTTTTAATTCTTTGAAAATGTGCCAAACAGACATTGATTAAATGAAAAACTAGCCAATGACATTAATGATACCCCTTGAGATGATGGGATAACCAAGGATTGTTGAAGAAGGCTATAAATCACCACTCTGAGGGAGATATAACTATTTAATGCTCTAATTATAAATGGAAACAGGTCGTTGACTCGTCCCTATAAACCACCCCTACCTTGAGAAGAAGTATGAACAGCCTTAGCATCTTCCTGGTATGCTTTAGGATCCTGGCCTTGGGGCCCATCTGCTTCTTGGTTTGGTTCAGGAAAGCATTCGGTAGGCACATTCTTATTTTCGTATGGCTTAGTCGAGAGGTCTTCAGGCCCTTGTTTTTCTTGGTATATTTCAGGTGCACAATCTTCAGGCTCAGGTGTTTTTTGGTAAATGTGTATTTCAGATGGACATTCCTCATGAGCAGGTGTTTCTTGGGTTGTCTTATAAGAGAGGGCTTTGGGCACAGAATTGTCTTCGTATGCTTTATGAGAAATGTGTTCAGGTTCAACTGTTTCTTGGTATGCTTTTGTAGAAAGGTCTTTAGGCATAGCAATTTCTTGTTGTATTTTAGGAGGAAAGTTTTCAGTCCCAGCTATTCCTTGACCTGGTTCAGTACTGTCTTCCTTGGGTTCAGCTCTTTTTTGGTGTGTTTCAAGAGTGTAGCCTTTAGGCACATCTGGTTTGGGGTATGCTTCAAGAGCGCATCCTTCCATGCCAGCTATGTTTTCATGTGTTTTAGAAGAAAGAGC